ATACTCTGATCCTAGTTTTGCATTTATACTAACTTGAAAGCAGTCTTGCTAGTATATCAGTTTGTCTGTTTTCCTACTCTAGGCAGTACTTTATTTCTTTACAACTAACTTTTTTGGCCTATATTGCTTTTCTATTCCTTATTTCCTTTTTTGCTAATCTATCAACTTTATTATTCCATTTATTTTTATTATGACTTTTTACTTTAACTAAATCTATCTAAATGTTTTTTGTCTTAACAAGGTATTTAATCTTCATCATCTATATTGTATTCTTTTTTTTAATAATCTTGTTTCTGTTAGCTTGTTCTAAGCCTCTACTAATGTTTTTTATTGCAGCATTACTATTAGTATATATCACTATTTGCTTTTCTCTAGTTATTATTAAAATTGCTACCCAAATTGCTACCAACTCTGCTATCATCAATGTCTATCATTCTTCTTGTCCAAGTGCTACTTCTTCTTTTGGCTATTCTTGTGTTTTATTTGTTTGAACCTATCCTATACCTATATTATTCTTAGATACTAGCTCTTTACTATTTTTTACATTAGTTGTACCATTAGTATATATTGTGTATTTGTTCTTGTCTCTTATAATGTTTCTTTTTAGAGCTTTTATTATTTCTTAACTAATATCTTCTTCTAGTTTCTGTCATTTAATAATCTCTATCTCTAGTTCTTCTATCATTGTAAGACCTTTTAGCTTGTATTCATTTGTTTCTGATTTGTCTATCTTCATCTTGTCTGTTATTTGATTTTTGTTATCTCAATTTTGTTGCTATCTTTTCTTATTAGTTTATTTGTAATTATATTAATGTTTTTATTTATTCTTATCCATTATTGGTAACTGTTTTTTATCTGTTCTTCCTTTCTTATACACTCTTTGCATCTGTTAATCTTAGTTGCTACTTTATTCTCTTTGCACTCTATTTGCCAGTATTCAATTAATACTTTTTTTTAAGCTGTTTGTAGTCTTATGTTCTATATACTATTTATTCTTTTCTTCTTCTATTTTCTGATATATATTCTTATTTGACTTGAATTGCTTAAGTATTCTGTTCATCTGTTCTAAAGTATCCTTGTACTACTCTACTTTCTAAGCTACTGAATACTTTTGATTTAATTGCTTTGAAGCATTCTGTTTTTTTCTTTTTACTCAATTGGCTTTAATAGTTTTTTAGTTGCTACCATGTGATCAACTTTTTTTCTTTTATGTTGAGTAGTTGGTTTAGATATATTAGACCTGCTTTATTTACTCTAACTGCTTATTTTTTTTACAATTATGTATCTACCAGTTCTTGTATTTTAGTACCATACCCAATAGTTTACTTTTTGTTCTAATATTTATTTGAAGTTTTCTTGCTTTGAGTATTGTAAGATATGCTAAATTATTTTTCAAATATGTTTTAATTTTTGGTTGCTCATTTGTCTTCTATATGTCTTTTGCTAAATCTGCTCTTTGACAGTCTTGTGTTATTTTTAGCCTTGTTAGCTGTTTGAAGCTGTCTTGTTTGTTTAATCTTGCTAAGAGGCTACTTATTTGTTTTATAGTTACCTCTTGTCACAATGTTTTACAGCTGCCAAGATCTTTGTGCTCTATTATACAGTTTCTACTGTTTGTTGCAAGCTGCTTTTTTGTTTTGCTAGACTTATTATTGGTTAATATATTTTGTTTAGGCTTTTGTTTAACATCTTTGTTAACTGTAACATATAGCTTAGTTTGGGTATTATTACCATATTGTTTATATATGCAATTTGACTCATTGTTATTTTTTTATACTTTAAATCTCTTATTATTTAGCTTACTATTCTTTTTGTCTTTTTCTTTACTTGTATCTCTTACATTCTGTTGTTTAACCATATTCACAATAAATGAACTATTTTATATCTTGGTTCTTCTATTATCTTACTTTTTCTATATATTACTGCTTTTTTTTCTTTGTGAACTTTTGTATTTATTATTATTAGCTTTGACTTTGATCCATTTATCTCTATATCATTCATTTTAAAGAACTCTTTAGCTATTTCTAAGATTTCTAAGAATTGCTCTTTACTGTTTGCAATCCATGTTGTATAATCTGCATATCAATTGCTGCTTTATGATATCTTGTAATATTGTTGTATTGCATATCTTTTTGTAACTGTTGCTTGTCTATATATCCTAGGCTTTTATTTTCCTGAATTCTCTTTAATAATGGGTTATAGAAAAGATGCCATATTAATAGTAAGATTACTTCATTTTGGTCTATTCCATCTTCTGCTATTAGTTCTTCTGTTAGGCCATAGGCTGTAATTATTCTTAATTGTCTCTTGTGGAAAAGATTCAATATATATTTAATTGTTTTCTTAGGTATTTTAACTCTTTGCAATACTAGTTCAAGACTTTCAAGAAGAACTAAGTCAAATGCCTTTTTTATATCCTGCAACAGTATCTATATTTTTTTATTTTTTTCTTTTGTTTTTTCCATTATCATATTTAAAATCTGTACTGGTTGCTCTATTAAGTTTTCTAGAAGGCCTGTAAAGTTTAATCCTCTAAGTATTTTTCTTTTTATAAATACTTTAGCAAGCCTTTTTGTTACCACCTTAGTCACAACTTTTTTAAATGTTTCAATTAGTACTATTGAACAGATGTTGTTTAAGCTATATCTCTATTCTACATCTTTCAATATTAGATAAACTTGTGTTGTCTTCTACTTTAATGAAATTTCATTATTTTTAAGCATAAGTCTGTGAATTTTCTGAAGACTTCTTGTGTTTTCATTCTGCTTTTTTGATTAGTATATAGTTTATACTTAAGATGACAGGAGCTGTTCATGTCTTTAACTCTCTCAGTATTTCTTCCTATTCATTTTTTCCTTCAACTTCTGTATACCATTCTGTTTTAATGCCTTCTCTCAGTTTGTATACCTCTTTTCACTTTTCTAACATTTTTTCTAATTTGGTAATTCTTTTTCCAAACTGCATTTTATAATGTTTTTCTATATTTGTCTTAACCTCTTCTGGCTTTGTTATTAGATATGTTTTCTCTTTCTCTTGTTTAATGAGCCTATCAAGCATTATCTTTTTATACAGAAGCTAGCAAGCATCTTTTCTGAGTCTTTTTTGATCATTTTGCATTTCTTGTTTATATTTTCTTTTATTTGTTTTCTTTGTGCTTGTTTTCAGTTTTTCTTCTTCCTTTCTTGTAAGAGCTTTTGCTATTCTTTCATGTCTTCTAACTAGACATGTGACTAATGCCTTTATAAATTTGGCAGTTTTGCACTTATTTTGTTACCTAGTGCTTTTAATTGTTCATTTGTTTTACTTTTTTCTTCTTTTGTTACTTTTTGATCTTTTCTCATCTTTGTATATTTAATTAATCTTTGTAGCTTTACAATATCCTTTTTTTGTTGTTATGCTTTCTAACTAGTTCTTCCATTTGCCATTGTGTTGTATATTCTTTTTTTGAGTATGTGCTTATTTGTTGCAGTAATAATTGCTTCTTCTATTATATTTCATATATTATTTATTTTGTTTATATGTTCCTTTATATCTTGCACTTCTGTTTGAATGTTTTTTAGACTTTTTTTTACTTCTAATTTTTTTGCAGCTCTTGCATATAATTTTTCTAATTCTCTGGTTTTGCCTAATCATATAAATATAATGTTCTTGATTGTTCTTTTCTTTTAATCCCTGCTTTATTGTTTTTATCTATCATATATCTAACTCATATTTTTGCAATTATTATTTTATGATTATTTTCTGTAATTCCTTCTGTTTTCTCAATGTTTGCTCTTTACAAACCCAAGGCCAGTTCTTCTGATATCCAAATATAGTCAATTCTTGTTGCAGCTTCCTTGTTTTACCATGTGTAATTTTGGCTTGTTAGATGCATATCTCTATATGCATCTATGAAGTCTTGTTTTCTCATCCAATTAAAGATTGGTAGTCTTTTAAAATTTGCTGATTGTGAGTGTTGTCTATCTAATATATTGTTTGCTATATAATTAAAGTCACCTATAATTATGACTTGTATTTGTCTTTTCTATTTAGTAACTATTTTTATAATTTTTTGTTGAATGTTTTTTCCTATCATCTTGTTACTTGGTGATATGTAGACCCTTATTACTAATAACTTCAATTGCTTGAAGTAGAGCATGATCTCTATTATGTATTTACTTATTCACTTGACTGTATCTACATGCTTTTTCTATTGTTCTTCTATTAGAATTTCTATATCTGATTCTTTTTTCTTATCTTCTGCTGCATTTGTTCAATACCCTATATAGTTTTTGTTTGCTGCATGTGTTAAAAGCTTTCTTCTCTTTTAGTAATGTTTGTTTCTATAACTTCTAATATTACAGCTTCCTCTTCTTCTACCTAGCTGAGCAAATTTCAAGCTTTCATCCTTTGGTTTTAGTAGGGACAAAATAGGAGTTCTGGTTCACTTTTTTCACACCTCTATATAACATATTGTTAAAAACTACTTTAATTGTCATCCTGCTATATTTATAGCACTTTTATATACTTTAGCTTGGTGTAAATTTTTATATAGCTAAAACACATTCATTTACTCAAATTTTTATCAAAAAAGATAACATTTTATTATAGTAAAGTATAAATCTGCATTTGTGTCATCACTCAAATAACGATAAATTTGTGTCTGCATTGTTATTCTAGTATAATGATATTAATTTTTATAAAGTAGAAGCTCCTGAGCCTTTTCCTGAAGTATATTAATATACTGAGTTACATAATATCCATTAGCATATTTTCTACAAAGGCCAGGTTTAGAACTAGTTAGTTTATTACAAACTTTGCAAGAAAAATGCTTTCTAGCCTTCCAATGTTCATGGCATCCTTCAGGCTAACAACAAGTACATCCACAAATAACTCCAGTTCTGAGTAAATAATCACAAGTATATTCACTTATCATAGTATATAAATATGAATAATTTTAATTTAAACAAAAGATCTGGTATATTAATACAAACAATGGAATACCAGCACACATGTACAAAATGTTACCACCATGTTCTAGATGTGGAAAAGATGATTTCAAAAAGACTCAAGATCGAGATGCATACTTAAATCATAAATTTCTATACAAATCTAGTAATATCCAAAATCTTATTGTAGCTTCAATATTATTACAACAAAATTTAGCTACAGATCAAATTTTAACTCAAACCTATGTTTCTATAGGTGATTAGATGATACACTCCCATCATCTATTCAAAATATATCTTTAGACAATGTTTCTTTAAATCTACCTCAAAATGATATAGAATAGTTTGATAATATGAAAGATAGATATAATGCAAGCACTAATGAAAAATGGTCCGAATTAGGTGAATTCTTGCTTTATGACTATCCAAAAAGAAATATCATAACTGTAAAAGGCAATTTTAGTGGTAAACCAGTAAGAAAAAATTATAAATTAATGAACAAAGAGTTAATATTTGAAGAATGTGAATCTAATTTTGATCCTTTAAGGCCTCATCAGAACTTAACAATGATGAGTTTATAGCAAGCAGTTATTCCATCTCCTGAAAATATAAAATATAAATTCAATCATTATGTTGAGGACCGTAATAAATATTTAGAAGCGCCCTATATGCCTCAACTTATAGCAAATGCAAGAGAACAAATTACAAGGGTACTTAAAGCCAAATTGTGTAAAAAAGATCAAATAAAAACTGCATTAATTGCTCAATGTATATATTCTAGGCATGTTAGCAAAGGGAAGGACAAACTTAAAAGTTCATTAACTATAATTGCTTATCACAGAAGCCTTATGTGTGTTATTCTTACAGAAAAAGATATTAATGAACATATAAATTTATCTATATCAAAAATAGATAATGCTATAGACACATTTATGCAAAAAGGATCAGGAATGAATTTGATAAGAATTGAAATGCTAACTATTGAAGCTTATATATATCAAAGAGCATTTGGTGGATTATATATTTCAACACCAAAGAAGCTTGCCAATACCAAATATACAATCAATCCTGATAATTCTGAAATAATCAATCCAGTTACAAATATGCTATCTGATAATTGTCTTCAAGGTGCATTAGCTTGTTATTTTGCTAATAAAGATGGATATACAGAACACCTTGAACGAATATATACAAAAAAGGATTATAAGCAATACTTAGATATAGTCAATTTGGATAAAATTCCAATGCCTACTCCAATCTGCTCATGAATATTTAAAAAGATTGAAGAAATGAATCCTGATATCTCTATTAATGTCTGGGAATGGAAAGAAGAAGCAGCAACACCCAAATCTGTAATTTATAGCAAGAACTATAATAGACCACATATTATCCATCTAATGGCTTTTACAGATATTACTAAATCTGAAGATGATAAGTACAGGCAAAAAAATCACTTCTTATGGATTAAGAATTATGATGGATTAGTATTCAAGAATACAAAACATCATAGTAAAAGATATCTTTGCAACTGATGTACTATAAGCTGGCTATCAGAAAAATCCAGAGATTATCATCAAGAGCACTGTTTTGGATTAGGTGAAGATTGTCAAAGAGTTGATCTATCCACAAAAGGGGTTAATAACTTTGAAAAGTTTAAGAACTATGAACAAATAATCAATGCTCTATGTATTATTATAGCTGACTTTAAGACTGATAATAAGAAATATGATAAGAAATATGAAGGGCAAATGCATAAGATTGCTGAGCAAAAGGCCAATAGCTTTTGCTACTTGGTTCACTAGATTGATACTGGAGATATATGAGGTCTATATCTATATAGAGAAGAAAATGCTACTCAGGAATTTGTCAAAAGAATTGATAAGGAATTAGTTCAAATTAATAGAGTTTTAGCTATAAAACATGATCAAATTGAGACCAACAAAGACAAAAAGAAATTCAATGAAGCAGATAGTTGTTGGATATGCAAAGAAAAATTCATTATAGATGAAGATAAAGTCAAATGCTTAGAAAATAAGGCATAATAGTTTAATAATAAGCTAAAAAATACTACAATGAATTCAGAAGATTATAAGACCTTAACAAAACAAATTGACAAGATAACTAAAGATATTAATTAAGAAAAGTCTATGAATATAAAGGTTTGGGATCACTATCATATTACAGATAAGTTCTGAGGAGCTGCTCACAATACATGTAATCTCAAACTTCAGATTGAAGCATAGAAAACTCCAATTCCAGTTATCTTTCATAACTTCTGAGAATATAATTCTCACTTGGTTTGCAAATCTGTTGAAAAATCAGTTAATGCACATTAAATCAAGGTTGTAGCTGAGACATTTAAGCAATACAAGTCTATGAAGATAGGCCAGCTTAAATATATAGATAGCATGCAGTTTATGAATAGTAGCTTAGCTAGTCTTACAAAAAATTTGGGTGATAATCATCCAATAACATCTGAGCACTTCAAAAAACTAGGCTATACAAAAGATCAATTAGATTTAGTATATCGAAAAGGAGTTTATCCTTATGATTATATGGATTTACAGGATAGGTTTTTAGAGACTGAGCTTCTACCAATTCATGAATTTAGTACATATCTTCATAGTAAAATTAGCCAAAAGATTATGAGCATGCCCAAAAAGTTGAAAAGAATTTAACTGCAAGACTTTAAGTGAATACCATGATATATATCTTAAAACCGATGTGCTTAGTCTTGCTGATGTCTGGACACAGTTGCGAAAAATGTCTATGGAATATGATGGACTTGATCCTAGCCATTATGTTTTACTTCCAGCATATTCTTGGGATGCTATGCTTAAGATGACAGATGTTAAAATTGAGCTCTTTACAGATATGTCTATGCATGATTTTATAGAAAAAGCTAAGTGTAGAGGTATAGCTATGGCATGTAAATGATATTTCAAAGCTAACAATTCTAAGATGGGTAAAGCATTTAACCCATCTAAACCAACAACATGGATTCTATATGTAGATGCAACAAATCTTTATAGCTGAACTATGAGTCAGTATTTGCCTATTGGAAATTATAAATGGGAGATAAGTTGTAAATATCTTGAGAATAATCCAAATGAGCAAAAGAAATATCTTGAAAAGATTCTTAATACTAAAGCAGATACAAAAAAAGGATATTTTTTAAATATTAAGGCACACTTCCCTCTAAAAACTCATAAATATTTGAATGATTTTACTTCCAGCTGTAGAAAACATGCCTGTAAATAAAAATATGTTGTGTCCCTATACTACAGAGCTTGTAGATAACTTAGATAGTGAATGTTTCTCAGTTACAGAAAAATTAGTACCCCATCTTGGTCCACAAGAAGATTATGTTATTCACTACCAAGAGCTTTAATACTATATAAAATTAGGTATAATAGTAGATGAAGTTACAGAGATCTTATCATTTGATCAGGATAATTGGCTTGCCCCCTATATAGCTTTTAATACAGAAAAACATAATGAGGTCAAAAAAGCTGGAAATACATTTCTAAGTAACTTTTTCAAACTCAAAAATAATGCTATATATAGTAAAACTATGGAGAATGTTCATAAGTATCAAGATGTCAAGCTCATGACTATAAATAATGAGTAAGATAAAAAAAAATTTATTAACCAGATTCGTAAACCCTTATTTAAGTATGCTAGACAACTTGATCCTTCACTTATAAGAGCACATATGGGAAAAGCTAGTATAACTCTTAATAAGCCTATTATTGTTGGAGCATCAGTCTTAGGTCTTAGCAAACTTCACATGTATCACTTTTGGTATGGGTATGTAAAAGAGAAATATGGTGATAAAGCCCAGCTTGGATATATGGATACAGACTCTTTTATATTTCAAGTTGAGACTGAAAATATCTATAAAGATATGGAAGAATGACCTAATCTCTTTAACCTTAATGGTGATACAACTATTGGTAAATTTAAGGATGAAACTCCAGACAGTGTAATTACAGAATCCTATCATATTCGAGCCAAGTCTTATCACTATATTTTGGCAAATAAGTCTACAAAGTCTAAGCATAAAGGAGTTAGCAAAAAGGATATGAGTGAAATGGCTATGAACTCTTATATGCCAGCTTTAGAAGGGTTCTTGCTAGATGATTCAGTAGACAGATCATTATTAACAGAGCAAGAAGCCAATGATTTGGCTATGCGAACTAAGGCAGATTCTATAACTCTAGTTTATTAAGACTGTCTTTTTGGTAATGAAGTATTCTATGCTAAGAATATAGGTATCTGATCAAAAGACCATATATTATCTTTGGTTGAATCAGAAAAGAAGGCTCTTTGCCCTATAGATACTAAGCGTTGGATATTATCTGATAAAATAACTAGTTTCCCATATTGGCATTGGCATATACAAGCATATAAAAAATTTATATTAAATAGAATGATTTCAGAAGTAGCTAAAAAAAGAGCTTTAAGCATTAAGCTCTCAAAAAAATATCAAAATGAATATATATCCCACATAAGCTAAACTAGTGATAATAGAATGCAAAGCATCACTGCTTCGCAGAGTTATAAATAATATAGTTAATATTTTTTTAAATATTTAATTATTGTGAAGCAATAATTTTTTGGGTCTTAAGTCGGTAATTGTTATCAAAATGAAATTAGTGTTCTGTTATAATATTTTGTGAAATTTTAGGAAAATTTTATAATAAATAAATATTAATATTTTTTGAAAGATTATAATATTTCATGAAAATATATTTCATAAAATTATATGAATTTTCATGAAAATTATTCAGGTCTTCTTACTCAACTACCACCTTCATTAATAAAAGCTAGATGGATTCGGCTTACAACTTGAAAAAAAAATCCATTATCAGAAAGTGAAGCAAGTAATATTAGCCCTATTATAGAGGCATTTTTAAAACATGAAGTTGATAGATACCAAAGAAATAAAAAATCTCAATATAATCCTACAATAGAAGCAGAGACAAAGTCTCGAAACTCAGCTTCCTTAGTACTTTATACCAATATTGCTTCATTATACTCTAAAGAAGAGGTTAATGCCAGAATCAAAGAAGCTACAGATAATTTATGTCAAGAATTTATTAAATCTACTAAAGAAACCTTAAAAACTATTAAGCAACAGAAAGATATAGAATGTAATCAAATTAAGATAGATATGGCTAATTGGAGTACAAAATTATTCGAATATATATTAAAAAAATATATTTGAAATAGTAGTATATATAATTTTATTCATGCATTAGAAGAAAAAGATGGTAAATCATATTCTAATATATCTTGGAAAACGTGATTTATACATTCTTCCCATATAGAAGTATTTTGAACTTGAGATATATTAATTATTTTTTTTTTATTGCAGAGCAATAATCCTTTGAATCTTGATCTGTAGTTGTGCAGTTACTTTAATATTTGATTTGTGAACAGAAATAGAAACAAATGTATTGCCAACTCTAAATTCACGCTTTTCATAGTCTACTTTACCTCCAGCAAGATCAAGCCAGTCAGTGCCAATAATCAAAGCATATTTATCATAATCACTAACTATTACATTATGTATTATTGTATAATCTGTATCTCTTGTTAATGCTCTATTTGTAAATATAATTGGTATATTATAATATGATCCATATGAGCTGGCATCAGTGGCAACTCCCTCGAGAGATGGAGAATTGGTTGTATCAATTTTTAATCTAAGACTCCTTGCTAGTTTTTTACTTATCATAGTACACTGAGCACCTCCATCCAATACTGCTTTGGGAATTAAAATATTATTAATTCTACATTCAGCAGTTGTAAGATCATTAGCAGGATGATGTACCAAATTAATATCCATAGGTTCATCTAAAGCCATAGAGCTTGCTAATTCTAGTGATAAATTATAAGAAGATAAAAGGGTTTTAAATTCGTTAAGGATATTTCTAAGCTCATTTTGAAAAATTTTTTTACAAATCTCATAACTTTTTGCTCTATCTTTTTATAATTATTGTGAGCTGGCTCAGCTAGTAATGGTTTTTTAACTACTTTTTTTTTACAAGATTCATAGCTATAGTAGAATTATTGCAAAGCATCTCTTCAGATCTATCTTCGACTTCTACATACTTGATATTTTTATTATCCTCATCCTCATAAACTATCTTTTCATAAACTTTCTCTTCCTCATTATTAGGATCTTCTGTTGCTTCTTCATAGATAACCAAGTTTATTTATTTATTCTTGGGTTTAACAATCTTTTTAATAACTTTCTTTCTAACAGGTGGTTTCTTTTTCTAACAGTTCAAGATGCATTAACTATTTTTGTAATAGGAATAGTAATATTTTTTCCAATCCTTCTTGCAATATTAACAATAGCAAGATCAATTTTCATTGGATCGTAAGGTCTTTCATCTTCTATATCAAGACCCAATCTGGCATAATCTATTATTTCTTGTAAGGCTTTGGCTTTTTTAGACTTTGAATAAATTATTTTTCCTCCAGGTGGTAATTTGCTTAATGAAGTAGGAGCTATCCCAATTCCTATCTGTCTTGCTTGGTCATCCATAAAATTATTCATATGAAATTCCTCAAGTCGATACTCATGACCAGGAGGTAAAGGTAGAGGTATGTTTTTTTGTAACTAGAGTTAAATTACTGGTTGAGAAGGGGTTTGAAAGTTTTGCTGTAACTGGGGTTGTATTATTGGTTGAGAAGAGTTTTGAAAGTTTTGCTGAAACTGGGGTTGTATTATTGGTTGAAATGATGCAAGTTAAGAAATTCCATTAGTATAAATAGAGCCTCCCCTATATGTAAATGTATCAGGTTTTTATTCTAACCACATATTTTTTAGACTTGTAAAGAATGCTGAAATATCTGCTAGAGGTGCTATTGTCATTCGATTGTAAAGCTCTGTTGGTAATTGATTTTTAAGCACTCCTAATACATAGTTATCATTATTTGGTACTCATAATAAAAATGGTTTGATTCTTGTTTTGTAAGTTTCTGAAGTATCATATAGCATAAATTTTTCTTGGGTTAATCTTTGAGTTGCGATTTGTTGAGTACCAATATTGTTTCTTTGATATTTTGTATTAAGCCATGCTAAAAATAATGCTAGTGTATTGACTGCAACTACTGCTTGATTATTAAATGGATTGGGTGGTATATATTTTCCTCCCATCTTTGAAGCTAAAATCTGGGTTTTTATAGCATCATTAAAGGCTGCCACAACACTTACTATACTACTACAATTATATAACTGTTTGATTTTATTAACATAGTCTTTTGGAGGTTCTTGGCTAATATATTGCAGAATTGGTGCAATTAAGGAGGTTACTACAGCTATTACTTCTTGTATTGTTGCCATGTTTGGTAAAGGTACTAAAATATGTGAATTATTATATAATTGTAAAATTTGTTGATGCAAATTAATAATAAATTGCTCATAATTTCAAGAACAATTTTTTCACTTACTCCACTTAAGATCAAGATGAATATCAGCAAGTAATAAATCATTTTCTAAAGTCCTGCATTTGTTATAATATCTATCTCGATTATATTCATACTGTTTTATTAATAATTAAAAAGCAAATTTTTCTTGAATTAATTTACCAACCTATCTATTTTTATCATGATATGAGAACTACCAGCAACAGCATTCTTTTACTTCATTATTATAAGCTATAGTCATCAAATTCAAGTCTGTTTCAGTATCATATCATCTTTGTTGCTCACGAGTTAAGTTCTGTTGGAGAAGATTATAATTATTTTGAAGTGTAGCTAACTGGGTTTGTAAATCTCCTAGTTAATTTTCTGCATTAATTGCATGAGTGTTTACTCTTGAATATATTTCTAATACCAACCTTTCAAACCTATTTTCAGCATTAGAAATTATATTAAGATTATCTACAATACTATTTATTGTAGGTGTTATGTAGTTGGACTTTGAAAATATTGTCTAATATTATTAATTTCTCGTTGAATTCTATGATTCTGGATTGTAGCTTGGTTTTCAGATAAAGATAATCTGGGTGATTCTGGTTGTTGTGCCATATTGTAAAGCAATAATCCTTCAGATCTATCTATAGTATTATTAGAATTTTTGTGTAAAATAAGTATATTTATTTTTTCATTAAGTTTGTTATTATCATTTTGAAAAATTATTAACTGTTTTTCTAAATAGTTTATATAGTTTTCTTGCTTTTCTGATTCTTTAAATATATTATCTAACTGTTTTATAAGATTAGAAATTTCTAATCACAATGGGTCTAGTTCTTCATTTTGAATTGTGAATTCTTTTCAAGATATTTAATATAATTCTCTTTTAACTCTAAATCCTGATGTAATTTACAGAATCGATTTTTTATTATCTGTAAATATTCTTCAGCCTGAACTAAAGTATTTGATAACATATCTAATATCTTAATATATATTGATTCTGAAAAAGTAAGAAAGCTTGAAAAATATCAATTATATTACAAAAATTATATTATCATCCATCTGGATATCAAAGAATTACTAAGAATCTTTTTGAAGCAACAAAACAAGCTGGGTTTGATTTTACTTTAGTTGAAGTAGAAGAATGGCTTGAGAAACAATTGTTATACTTGATTCATAAAGCTCGATCAAAGTATATTTCTATGTTAGCTTTAATACTATTATTGTTCCAATAGAAGTTATACAAGCTAATATTCTTTATATGCCATATGATAGAGTTAAAGACCCATTGCAATGCAATAAAGTAGGGTCTATAACTTATATATTTTGTCTTACTTGTATAGATGTTGCATCTCGATATAAATGGGCTGAACCAATAAGAACTACTCTTGATATTATTAATATGGATAAACCCTTTTTGGAAGATATACTAATTTTTAATATAGTTGCTAAAGTTTTTATAAAAATTTTTAATAATCCAAAATGCCTTCTTACATGGCCTAAAGTATTGTTAACTGATATAAAATTAGAGTTTAAAGGAAGTTGTAAAAAGCTTATAATAAAGCATAGTGTTAAAATTCAAAAAGCTAGTTCCAAAAGTAGTATGGGTATTGTTGAAAGATTTAATCAAACTTTAGCTGAGAAATTATTTTGAATACAAGATGCACATGAATTATTGTTATCATTATATAGAAGATCTAGAGCTTGGGTTAAGAATCTTCCTATTATTATAAAGGAACTTAATAACTCTATAACTCATCTTCTTGGTATAACTTCTAATAAAGCTATTAAGAAAAAATTTGTATATACTAAAGCCTCAAAACCAAGATATGGTCCTATAGGTTATAATGAAGTTCATTTAATATATAATAATCCTGTTTTATATTTGCTTAAGCCTGATGAGTTAGAAGGTAGAAGAAGATGCAGTACAGATTGTAATTGGTCTCTGCAGATTTACTATATTAAAGAATCTCTAGTACAAAAAAATCAACCAGTGTTATACTGAATTGAAGATATTAATGAAAATGGTCCAAAGCAGTCTTTTGTTCAAGAAGAACTTCAAATTATTCATCCTAATACAGAATTACCTCTTCAGTGGGTGCTTACAAGTTAGACCTAAAAAAGAATTAAAGACTCACAATAAGAGACATTTATGGAATATTTCAAGTTGGTGTTCCTGGTCTTTTATAAATTAAGAAAATCTTCTGCTTCTTTATCAATTTGTGCTTCTTTAATGAAATAATCTTTAGCTAAATTGTAATATAATTTATATAGTTTCATAATAGAAGTAAATATCTTTGGATCTCATCTATAAAATTCTTTGTAATCATTTATAGTTTTATTATATTTGTCCTTATTAGAAAATTTAATTTGGGCTAAGCTTTTATATATTCTTTTGGGTCTTCTGCTTGGTATAATTTTATAATTCACTCTTTATAACTTTGTATGAACTTACCTTCTTTTGGCTTTTTATAATAGATGCTTGCTTTAACTATATTAATTAAAGCTTGCTCAACTTCTTGATAGGTAGGCTTGGTTTGGATATCTTTTGTATCTTGAGTTTGATTACTTATTGTATATGTATACTGGTATTCCGTTGTTTGTATTAATGTATCAGATCTTTTGTTTAAATTAAAATTATTCATATTTATATACTATGATAGGTGAATATATTTGTGATTATTTACTCAGAACTGGAGTTATTTGTGGACATACTTGTTGTTAGCCTGAAGGATGCCATGAACATTGAAAGGCTAGAAAGTGTTTTCTTTGCAAAGTTTGTAGTAAATCGACTAGCTCTAAACCTTGCCTTTGTAGAAAACATGCTAATGGATATTATGTAACCCAGTATATTAATAGACTTTAGGAAAAGGCTCAAGAGCTTCTACTTTATAAAAATTAATATCACTATACTAGAATGACAATGCAGACACAAATTTATCATTATTTGAGTGATAACACAAGTGCAGATTTATACTTTACTATAATAAAATATTATCTTTTTTGATATAAATTTGAGTAAATGAATGTGTTCTAGCTATATAAAAAATTACACCAAGCTAAAGTATATAAAAGTACTATAAAATATAACAGGATGATGATTAAAGTGGTTTTTAACAATATGTCATATAGAGGTGTGAAAAAAGTGGACCAGAACTTCCATTTTGTCCCTACTGTTTTTAATCTGTTAACATTGTGATATGCTATTTTAATTTCTTTTTTTCCTTATTTCCATTTTTCTTTTAGTTGGTTTTGTTTTGCTTTTATTTTCTCTGCTCTTTCTTTTTCTTTTTTAGCTTTCTTTTCTCTTTGATGAAAGTTGTTATGCTTTTCTTAAATATTTTTCTTTCTCTTTGTAAAAAACCTTCATGCTTCTCATCTATTTTCATTGGTTCAACTAAGATGCCCTTAGGAGTAATCAGCTGGGTCTTCTTTCATCCCTAGCTGCATTTTTCCTATTAATTTGTCTTGTTAAACTTCAAGTCTGTTTAGTCTTTCTAAGATTTTTTGAAGCAAGTTTTGCATTTGTAGTTTAAGGTTATTTTCTCTTGTATATTTTATTTAACTGCCACCTTTGCTTTTATTGTTTTCTTTTTTGATTATCTTTTTTTTGTCAACTTTTTGCTCTTTTTCATTTAACTTGATATACATATCTTCTATATTTGGATTTCTTTGATGCTGCTATCTTCTTTTTTTCTATTCCACTTTTCTTAAAAGTTTTTTCAATATAAAAGGTGATTGTTAAATCTTATTGGTTTGGATTGTACTATTTTCATTTCTTCTTCTAATACAAAAGTAATTGTTGCTATTTTTCTTTAGTTTTCATTTCTGTTAGGTAATATGTAAACTGATTTTGCTCTCTTGTTTTTTAAGTAATGTAGTAACAAAACTTTTGAAACATTGTCTGAAGTTCTGTTAATCTTGTTGTAAACAAGTTTTAAAGATCATGTTGAGTGTAATCTTTATTATCTTTAGTTACTCTTACCAACTTGTAGACACTAATTGGCAAAGTTCATAGAATGCTCTTATCAGTAAGTTGGTCTGCTTAAACTACTGCTAATGCCTTGTATTTAGATCTTTTAATGCATATTATTTGTACTTTCTTGAAACTTTTGCACATATGCTTGATTTTCTCTGTGTTGATGTTTACAAATAAGTTCCATATTGTAAAATAGTTATATGAATTTGTTGCATTTTCTGTCATAAACAAGTCTTCCTTCTTTCTCTTTTTTGTTGTTATTTTTAATTTGTTGTTCAAGGTTTGGTTTTTTGTTCTTTTTTTCTGAAATAAGCTTGAGCCATTCATCTTTTCTTTCTTGAATTCTGTTTATCACTGCATCTCAACTATGTTCACAATCAAAGTCTACTTCTACTCAGTTGTTTCTATTCTTGAAAACTTCTTTAATTGCTTTAATATTATAGTTTTTATCCAAAATCTATTGCATATATTTTATTCTTTCATCATTTGATTCTTTTAGCAAAATATATGCTGTCATATTTGCCTTGAAGAACTTGTCCTTGCTACATACTCTATTTTCTGGTGACCATTGGCTGTGCTCAATTGTGTCAATAAAAATTGGATCTTCATTTGTCATGTTTTCTTCTTTTAATTCTATTATTTTCTTGTTGATGTTTTTTATATTTGTCTTAACATTTTAAATAATATTATCTCTTGGTGCCTCTGTGTTCTTTTTTATCTTTTTTTCTTTTGCTTCTTCTATTTTATTTAATTTGTCTATGGATATTTAGTTTGAGTTTTGTAAAAAAATTTTTTGTTGCATGTCTTGTCATACATTAATGTTTAGCTCTTCTATTTGCTCAATAATTACATTTATCATTTGGATTGGTTTTCCTTGAAGTGCTTCTTCTTTTGCTATATTTTGACATTTTTTTTTTGTTATTAATGTTTGTGCTTTTTTCATGTTGTTTAGCTTTTCTATTTCTTTCATTTTTCTCTCTTCTTTAAGTATATTTTTTACTTATATTTGTAATATATTCAGTTAACTTTGGGTTTTAATTTATTAGCCTGAGCCTTTGCACTTATTTATCTATTATATCTTCTTCAAGCCAACTTAATTCTGCTAAACTCAAAACTTTAAAGATTTGTCTATAGAGTAGTACATTGTTTAGTATAATATAGTTTGGGTTGTTTATTGCTAGGTCTTTTGCTATATATTCTACATTGCTTGGTTCATTTGCAGGTATTGTTAGAATTTAATTCAACAATTCTGAATTTAAATACTTTCAATTTTGTCACCTGTCTCCTTAATGTAGTACATAATGTCTGTGTTAGTGATCTGATCTATTTGATCTATTTGTTAAACTTCTATACTGTAATATTTTTTGTTTAAACTGTTCATGTGCATTCTGTGTTATATTACTATCTACTAGTAATTTATCTATATATTTTCTAATTAAGAATATAAACTTTGTTGTTTTTTGTTGTTGTTGTTTGGTTAGTTATATATTTTCTTTCTGTTTTTTAAGATCAACTGTAATTTCCCAAACTTTTGAGTTTTATACTAAAAAAAAGAAAAATTTCTTAAAGCAAGTTTAGTTTGTTAGCAATATATTTTTTATTATTACATTTTTATTATAATTTATGTATTTTTGAATATAAACTCTTTTTTCTTAAAAGCTTAAAGACTGTTTGCTATTCTGTTTTGGTTATATTTTATGTTTTGTTTTTTGCTTTGCTTTGCAACTAGAGATTAGTAGAAAGAGTTAATTTTCACTTAAACTTTATTATTACTTTTAATGTCTGTAAATGTTTTTATAATTGTATATATATACTAGTAAGTTAATTAAATTATATTTAAAAAAGCTAAATACAGTATAGAACTTTAATAAAACTATATAATATTGCAATATTTATTTATTATATTTACAAACTAATTAAGCTAAAAATTATATATATATTGTAATAAGCTTAACATCAACTCTATTTTATTATTATTATTTTTTGGTTTATATTTTATTTTTTATATAAATAACATTTTCAAATAGTAAAATAAAAAGGATTTACTAATCAAAAATTTTTAATATAAAAGACCAATATAAGAAAAATAGTTAGGTGAAAAGTCAGAAAACAAATATTTAAATATCATATAGAAGAATTTATAAAATTAATAAAATCAACAACCTATCAGCTTAAAATCATAGAATGATATAATAATGTTATACTAATATTTAAAATTTAAACTTTAAAATAAAGATAATATAAGATGATTAATATAGTCATTAATAAATATTGAGTAATATTCACAGATAGCTATATAATTATATAAATTATAAGAAAATATTAAAATATATAATATAGTTAATAATATATAAATCTAACAAGACTAATATATAATATTTAAAAAGATAATAACTGATATATAATGATATAAAAAATTACAAATAATATAATACAAATATATAAAATTTTATTATATAAGATTAATATTAAGAAGATAGCTTATGATTAATAAATTTAATAAAACTCATTAACTGATAATCTAAAGATTTAATAAATATCAAGAAGATATAAAACTGAATAACAAACTTTTAAAATATATATATAAACTAGAATGATATTTAGTATATTAATAATAATATATATTAATAAAATAACAATATAAAATTTCTTATGATAATATACTGATATATAAAATTTTATTATATAGCTGAAATACTTTTAAGATATACAGATAAATAGTTTAGTTTACAAATTTTATTAACTGATTGTCTAATGATATATATAAATAACAAAAAGATATTTATATAATTATAAAAGTTTCAAATATATTTATAAAACTAAAATAATATATTAAATATTAATAATAATATAAACCAATAATTAGTAATATTATAAAATTTTAAAAGATATAATATGATAAATAAAATTTTATTACTTAAATTTAATACTACAAAGACTTTTCATTGATTAATTTAGTTTATTACTTTTATTAATTAATATTTTAAGATATAATAATTTTACAAATGATATTTTGCTGATTATTTTAATTTTAAATTTATTTTTAAATATAAGACTAAAATTTTCTGATATAATAAAATATAAGAAGATATTCAACTTATCAAATAAATTTACATGATCTATGTTGTTCATACTGATATTTTAACAATGAATATAAATATATAATAATATAATATTAAAAACAATAATAATGTAATATGTGCATAACAATATAATAATAGTTATATATTCAAATTTAAAAATTATTTATTAAATATATTTAATACATATATTAAAAAATAATTAATCAATAAACTATTGGTTTAATTATATATTAAATCATTTATTAGTCAGAATTACTACTAATACATTTTGCAATAAAGTACTATATTTAATTTGTATGATGAAGAAATAAATTGTTCTAATATTCTTTAAACAGGAATTATACAGTCTCTAGCTTCATTATAAAATTTATCTTGCCAAATTTCTATATTACAATGCTTATCATTCTTTAATGATAAGTAATGTCTTCATATATTATGTAGCTAATATCATTGAATATAAGCTAAATAGAAGGTATTACTAACAAATTTATATTAAAAAAAGAATTATATTTGTCCTAGATATATGTTATCAGAATTATCTATAAAGACTAAGAACTTTGCTCTGATATATAAGCAGTTAACA